CCCCAAAACCCCAAAACCCCAAAACCCCAAAACCCCAGTCACCTCAACGTATATTGAACGAAGTTTATCTTCAAAGAATAGGTTATTAAAACTAATATTTAGGATTAAGATGAGCGATAGCACTAGAAAAGGTAAAGGGACGATTCTTCAGAGTATCCAGAGTCATGGACACTGGATAAACTTCAGATCAACCTTGTGCTATCGTCGTATATAGGTGTTTTGGAGGATCTGAAGTAGAAGAAACCATGGCTTAAAGCTTCTTCTAAAGTGACTCTTGAGCCTTTAGACTCCCCTCAGCACTTTTGAATGAAGTCGAGGGTGATTTCGTCCTTGTGGCTCGAAATCTCAGAGGTGATCACTCCAATACTGTGTAGATCGTCTAGAATGGCCTTTCTTGTGATTCTTGAATTCGAGTTATAATCAATAAATTTAGACTTTAAGCCATTAAACTGGTAGGGTAAGTCAAAATTTTCGAGCTTGATCTGTAGCGAATCTGGATCAATCTTGATACTATTAATAGTAATGTTGCTCTTATAAAATCCACAGGAGTGAAGGTACTTGACTGCTTCAAAAATTTGATGGACAATCACAACCACACACTCATCACTTAGTGCATTAGAGGCGATAAAGTCCTTGAGATATATTCCATCTGGATTCTCGGTGATTACGTACAAAAAATCTTTGTCTGAGAAGTACTCCTCCACACCTCATATATTTGGGTGATCTATTTTCTTTTGTTTTCTGAGAACGTCCATGTAGTCTTCAGGGTTAGAATTTATTGATTCCCATTCTAAGGTCCTAATGGATACTTTTCTCTCAAAATTTCGGAGGTCGAAGCCCTCCCGAATTATAGTTGAAAAACTTAGACCAACTATTTTGCCAACTTTATAGAATTTAGTGATTGGCTCTCTCCTCACATTGAGGAGATCTTTAAGATTGGACGGATTCGACTGGGCTGAAGAAAGAGAAGTAGACAATACTTCATCAATATCTTCAGCTTTTTGGCCGGTCCAAATAGGAGTTTTACCTCCTGGAAGAAGACGCTTAGTACTAAGGATTGTACTTTTAGACTTTACTTGAGGGTATTCACCCTGAGAGAAATCGGAATTTCATCCTCACATTACAGCTCCCATTTCTTGGTTAAATTAAAACAATGATAAATTTCAATTTAACTTACTCTTAAGGGGTTTTGGGGTTTTGGGGTTTTGGGGTTTTGGGGTTTTGGGGTTTTGGGG